GGTGGGTCCCCACGGCCGGGCCCGGGTCGGCCCCTCTGGCAGCGAAGCGCCCCGGGGCTTTACGCCTCAGGGTTAATGTACTCGCCCCCTAAACCAGCGCGAGCATTTTAATCCCCGCCATCAACAGCGCGGCCATTCAGTCCTGGCGGGTTTCTCTTTATCTGCGAGGTTTTGATCTGCTCCCTTGAAGTGCTCTGGCAACAACAATTAAGACTCGCACGTCTGGCTTGCCAGGGATTTTTTATTATTTTTGATGTCCCGATTCAGTATCCAGCTCTGAAATGGAGATGTCTCGATAAGGTGACCTACAAAGGGAAAAACGGCTTGTGCTCTGTTTTGCTCGTTTGTGGTATTTAAAGAATCTGATTTGTTTTGCCCTTTTCCTAACCCTAAAATACCCGTAGTGCCAGGTTAGTTTTGCTGCAGAGCTTTATTATCGGAGAGCCTAAATACTTTGGGGAAAATCTAATCGGTTACTTATCTACTGAGGGAGTAAGGTATGGCATTTGTAATAAAAGGATTTTCTAGGCTGTTACCAAGCATTTGAATTAAATGGGTATTAATGAAAACAATTTCAAAGGTTTCGAGCAATTGGATTAAAAACCTTTCATCTTTTTTAGTGCAGAAGACTTTACAGACAACTGAAGAATGTGCACGGCTGTGATTTGCGGAGGCCAGAGACACTTGTACAAAGAAATTCTTCTAGCATAAAAAATCCCAAGAAAAAAATCACTCTTAAATAATTACCAGAGCTTTCACTGCCCCTGGTGAGTGGCTCTACTGGCTAAGGGATAAACCCAGAGCTCAGGAAAGGCAGTAAATTCTGCCCTTTCAGCTCCCACACACTGACTATTTAAGACACAAAAACACTGAGGAGGGAGAAATAATTCTTGTGAATGTCAGGAGAGATCCTATCAGTATGGATTGAATGGCCAGATTAAATTCTTCCCAATACTACCAGTACACTGAATTTGGTGGTGCTGCTGTCCACACACACCTTCTCATGGGCTCTGATCCTTCCAGTTTGACGTTTGCAGGCGAAGGGGAAAATACACGCTCGGATTGCAACCAACACTGTACGTTTTCTTCCTTTCTCCTCCTCTCCCCCAGCAGAAATGGCACGACTTATTCTAAGTAGAAATAGGCAGGTGGGGGGGCCCTACTGACACAGCAATGCCAGGCTCTGCGCAGGAGAAACTCAGCCTTTGAGCCACAAGCAGGTGGTGCCATTAGCCCGCTCTGGCTGCGTGCCTCTCGCCAGCACCACACTGACCCATTCGCTTCAGCCGATTGTGAAATGATAAAAAAAGAAAGCTATTTCTAAAAAAAGGGAAGATTTTTCCAAAGCCTACGAGATGTGAGTGGATTCCAAAGCTAAAATCGGTTCAACAAGCGGAAACGGCAATTTTGTCAGCACCCAATTCTAAGTAGAGCCAGAGCTCAGGCATGAAGTCTTTCTCCAAATCCAAATCATCCTTAGCTTTTTTAGTTCTTTCTACATTTCTTCTTTGGTTTGCACTGCAGTATTTCCTGAATGTCTTTGCAGTGAGACCTATTTATTACCATTCACTGCACATGTACCATATCCTTGTGCACCAAGGTCTTTTCATCCTCAGGTTGCATGCTATTATTCAGCCAGGAAAAAATTAGTAGTAACTGCTTTCACTTTTCAGCCCTTACTGGAAACGTGGCCTTCCTCACTCCCTCTCCATGTGTGGTGACACATCTCACTCAAATTATGTTTTGTAGCAGAAGCTTTCAAAGCACTTTCCCAAGGTGAGCAGTAATAGCGGCGTTTGGATTCTGATGGGAAACCAAGTCATGGAAAATACACAGACCAACACCCAGCCTGCCCTGATGGGAAGGGATGTCGTCGGGGTAGTCCCTAGAGCCCTCTGCGCAGAGGATGGGCGTTCACAGACCCTTTCCTACGCTGCCTCTCCATCCCAGAGTATGAAGGTCTCAGTGCTTCCAAAAATCAGGAGCAGGGTCCTCAAGCGGGGCACCGGCACCCAAGAATCGGCAGGCGCAGGCCCTCTGTGAGCCCGGCCACTGTGAGGCGGTGGCAGGGTTAGGATTGAAGCCGGCTGTCCCTGTTCGTTGATTCTGGCTGTAACGTGCTGTGTAACCTTCTAGCCAAGGCTCCTGTCCAAACTGAAACGAGAGTGGTAAGACCAAAGACGAACTCCTTGATTACTGAGATTCACTGCTGGCATCTGAGCTCTGTCTGCCAGGGTTGGAAGAGGAAGGAGGTGGTATTTAGAGAGCCAGAAATTCAGGAACCAGTAACTCTCAAGCCTACAGCTGAGCGTAACATGCTGACATCTGGCTGAAACTCTTGGCAGTTCACTTGGGCGATGCTGAAACACTCCAGCAGCTATGCTAGGAAATAAACACAGCCAGACAGGTACGGGCTCTATAAATGGATCTCACCCGCAGAGCTCATCAGGCCTCCTGACAGATACACATCTCGCAGGCTGGTGCCATTTGTTCTGTTGTAGTCTCAGTGATGCATTAATGTTTGAAGATTAAGTAGGCTTTTCAAGCAGGCTTTTAACTCTATGAGACAGTCTTTTCTGATAGCACTTCCTTTCACATTTTGAATTACTGATTTATTTTGTCTATTCTTAATCTGATCCCTTGCTTCAGACTCATAGTGCAGACTGTGCTCTCATCCAGAGGGACTCCTTCCTTGAGATTATTTTGATAAATGTTTGTATTCAGCTTCTTACCAATCTGAATTTCTCAAGGGAAA